GTGTGTGTGTGTGTGTGTGTGGGTGTGTGTGTATGTGTGTGTGTGTGCATGCTTTCACGTGCGCGATCGGGTCGTTCGTGGGAAGTTGGTCGCTTCCAAAGTCGATCTTTGGCCAAAAAAAAAGTGTGTGTTTGTGTGTGTGTGTGTGTGTGTGTGTGTGTGTGTGTGTGTGTGTGTGTGTGTGTGTGTGTGCGCGCGCGCGCAGGGTATGATGTGGCTCTCTGCAGTAACACAGTAAAAAAATTGGCTCTTCATCTCTGACTGGTTGGCCAGTGTCTGCAATCACAGCGTGGTGACGTAACCAGACGCAAAGTGGTGGAAGGGGGGTGGGGGGTAGAATCGCCTTCTGTTGGTCAATGGGAAAGGGACAATATGCCAATTGGTTGCGTGTCGCCACGGATCACCACTACCCACTAATTTCAGTGGGAAAGGGGTATAGAAATATTGTCGAAGTGATCAATTCAAAATGTGAACATTGGCAGATAGTTATCTTTTTCATAATCATTGTGAGAAATCGCTCATGTGATCGGTGTCTTCTCAGAAATGAATATCATTAATTATAACATATGAGGGTAGTTGGAGCAAATGTATTTCAAAAGTGCATACAATCAAACTGGTAGCCCTCCGCATTAATCAGAAGCCAAGAAGGAGCTCTCAGTCTAAAAAAGTTTGATGATCCCTGCTATAGACTGTAGTGTGACATACAGGCATTTGCACTGCCACTGAGTGTGTTAAATGTCATTAGGTAGCTTTACGGCACAGTCCATACATCCATTATTCGAACCACTTATCCTCACGAGGTTCGCTGCTGTGCCGGAGCCTTTCTCGGCAGTCTAAGGGGTACCCCCTGAATGGGTTGCCAGCCAACCGAAATGCAAATGCACATGCAGACACAACAACCATTTAGACTCACAATCGCACACAGGGACAATATTGTGTCCAATCAACCTACCATGCATATTTTTGGGAATGTGGGAGGAAAGTGGAGTGCCCGTGGAAAACCCAGGAAGGCCGGAATCGAACCCTGTGGGGCGGACAGACGCGCTAACCAATCGTCCACCATACGTGCTCATTACAGCATTGTCTTTATTAGAAATGTAGGAGTCAGTGCCAGGGGTACAGATGATTTCGGGTCTCCAAACTATGGCCATTAATTTTTGGAGGATCACAGCACAGACTAAAATAACATGACATGGCCAATGTCATTTGCCTGCTTTGTACTACATATGGTACTTCTTCTTACCTTCTACATTGAGTGGCAAGTTAAGAGAGCTGAAGAAGTCTGCTCTCATCTCGAACACAGTGCAGATTAGAAGATGGTACTTTGTTCGGGTCAGTGTTCACGACTAGCAGAAGACAGACACTGGCCAAAAATGGCATCCATGGCAGAGTTCCCAGGCAAAAACCACTGCTGTCCAAAAAGAACACAAAGGCTTGTCTCACAAAAGACATCTTGATGATCCTCAAGGCTTTTGGAAAAACATTCAGTGGACAAATGAGTCAAAAATTGAACTTTTTGGAAGATATGTGGCCTTAAGGAGAATGTCCAAACATCAGTTTGCACCTTCAAACTCAAGCACTCCTGGATTATACAGCAGGACAACGACACGAAACACACCAGCAAAGTTCACCTCTGAATGAATAAAAAAACAAAAAAAACAAAATTAAGGTTTGTGGCCAAGTCAAAGTCCGAAGTTGAATCAAATTGAGATGCTGTGGTGTGACCGTAAATGGCCAGTTCATGCAAGAAAACCCTCCAATAGGGCTGAGTTTAAGCAACTCTTCTGCAAAGAAGAGTGGGCCAAAATTCACAGCGATGTGAAAGCAATGTGAAAGACTCACCAATTACTCATCACGAATGCTTGATTTAAGTTATTGCTGCCAAGAGTGGAACAGACCATTATTGGGTTCAGGGGGCAATTACTTTTCCACACACCTGCCAAACTGTCAAATGTGGGTTAAAATTAGTTTTGGTGGGTGTTACTAAAAACATGCGTGAGGCGAAATTACTTGTGGCGTAGGGGGCGTCTCCCCTTGCAAGGTGGGGTAAAATGCCACCTTTCAAAATGTTCTATTTTGACTAATAGAATGAATTTGTAATGTGGTGTGATTTAATCAACCATCCATAAGTGTTTACTTTGGCATACTTCTGGTGTACACATTGTTCATATTCAAATCATTCATAATTTTCAAAATACACATTTTTCTAAAACGGACAAATTATCCCGGTCTCATCTGTCTATCTATCTATCTATCTGTCTATCTATCTAATTTATTTAGAACCTTCCATATTACACGCACAGCCTCTTTTGTTCGGGGTTTAACGTTTCATAAGCTTGGCGTGGCCTAATGTAAAGACAACGAAGCACAGTTGAGCCATTTCATCACTCGCAAACAGAGGACTGGCGCGTTGTGACTCACCCATTATGAGCTTAAGACTGAACTTGCACCGTTGTAAATACATTTAATTGTTTACTTTTGGTGGTTTGCGCATATTACACAGCCTTTGAACTTGGAGCGCGTTTAAGAGGACAACGACAACGTTAATTCCGCGGAAGGCTAAATGGAGGTCGAGAATAAAGATTGTTCAAAAAGAGCTCCGAGATAACTGCGCTGTAGCATTTCGCTACCTGTTGCTTTTCACAGACACACTTGTTCCTTATTGCAAAGCAAAGTATTTCTCATGAATATGACTTGTAATGTAAATACAGAAATTACTTACCAGGCTAAGGGAAGCCCCCATGAATGTCAGCTCTGACTGTCGTTGTTGGACGTTTCTAAATAAATAAATAAAATGACTCTTCTTTCCGTTGCCTTATTTCTGCGACTCCCGGAGATACAGTACTCCAACTGTTTCTCCCCTGCTGGCAGATTATTCACGAGCCGTCACAGACCTGTGACGTCACCGGCACGCCGACTTCAAGACTTCAAAGACCTGCCCCATTAACCCAACAAGTGACGCAATTTGTTTTTACTTGCAATGAGAAAGGTAATTAACGATTGTTTTTATGTTCATCACATTT